ATAGAAATCCCTGCTTTATATGTGGCTCATAGTTGTAAGGTTGACTTCAGGGAGATTTTGGTCCCCAGAATAGAGAGTATTTTGGAAGAAGCTCATCTTAGGGGAACACAATGAGTTTGGACAAGGATATTCCAGATGAGACTGTAAATAGGGGATCATATAATTTATTATCTAATCCAGGACACCTTCAAAAGTAGAAGGGAACCAGGACCTCTAAGTCCTCAGCAGATTGGCCCCTGCACCGAGCAGGGAAGAGAGGGAGTGAGAGGGTGGAGGGCTGGAGGGGCTTCTCAGGAGCAGGCCTGGAAGAGGCATGCTTCCCTTCTCCCCCATGTTTGGGGGCAGAATCCAGGCACCTGGCCACCCCTAACTGCAGTGGGAAATGTCACCTGGCTCTTTGCCCAGGAGGTGCGTAGAGGAGGTGGATTTTCAGTGCACACTTAGGCAGCCTCTACCAGACCCTTCCTGGGATGTGCCAAGCACGCTTGTTGCGCAGGGCCTTTACCTCGCATTCCCACTGTATGGACCATGCTCACCTCGCTCCCGAGGTTCCTTCAGGACTCTGCGTAGAAGATGCCTTAACAGAAAGCCAAGTGGTCAGCCTGCATGAGATGGTGAGCCCACTCTTGACCTGTGCTCCTCCTCTAGTTACTAAATAATAACTTAGCTAGTTGGGGCTTGTGCTAGAGTTCCCAGAGAAATGGACCAAGATGGTGGATGGATGGATGGATAGATGGATGGATTATTGTAGGAATAGGTTCATGTAATTATGGAAGCCAAGAAATCCTACTACCTGTGGTCTGCAAGCTAGAAAATCAGGAAAACTATGGGGTCATTCATTTTAAGTCCACAGGCCTAAGAATCAGGTCAGCTGATGGTGAGTCCCAGTCCAAGGCCAAATACACACCAATGAAACAGGGCTGTAGGTATAAGTCCTGGAGTCCAAAGGCCTGAGAACCAGGAGCTCTGATGTCTTCAAGCAGAATACAGATGACTCATCTCAAAAGGGAAGAGAATCTGTCTTTCCTCCAACTTTTTCCTTCTGTTTGGGCTGTTGGTGGATTGGCTGATGCTCACCTCCATTGGTGAGGGTGGGTCTTCTTTACCCAGTCCGTACATTCAGATGCTAATTTTTTTCCAGAAACATCCTCACAGACAATTGCATCCCCTAACCCAGTCAAGATGACCTAAAATTAAACATGCTCTTGATTGCATGTAATAGTCATTGACTCCAACTTACAGATACCTGGGAATTCACCCAATCAACAAAAGAGCTGGAAAGACCAACTGGAAATCAAAGTCCATCTCAGGTAGAGTTACAGGGACAACATGCGTTGGATACCAGCACTGAGGCCATCACCATGGACCCTGGCTGCCATGCCACCCATTCAGGATTTCGCCTTCAAATCACTTCCTCAAGTTATATACTCCAGAGTAGAGGCATTTGGTTGGCTTTGATGCAGTCATGAGCCTGTGTTCCATCTGCTGGGAGACAAGGAGGAGAGCTATCTGTGATGAAAAAGGGTGCTCTGATTCCCACCTACATAGGAATTCCTCCAAATGAGAAGTGTTCCTGAAAACTGGACGATGAAAATAAGCAATGCCCACCATGACCACCCATAGCTGAACATGAAATTCTATTGATGGCAAAATTTTTATGGTATTATTTTAAACGTGTGTTTTTATACGTGTTGCTGTCACTCTCTATTCCTCTGTAGGTAATTTTCTTTTGATCTCTGGGTTACTTTTCAGACCTTCTCTGTGTTTGATAACAACTTCACCAAACGTGGCTGAACGGGAATTTATTTGTTCTTCCCAGAATGCACTGTGCCTTTTCATTCAAAGATGTTGTCCTTTCTTCGGTTCTAGAAAATCCCCAGCCATTATGGTGTCAAATACTACTTCTACCTTGTTATTTTTTCCAGAAATTCCTGTTAAAAATATGTTGGACTTTTCATCCTTTCTTATCATCTCTTTACAGATAGTCACGTTTTCTGCCAGTTGACTCTGTGCTGAATTTGAATATCAAATGCGTTGACCAGTTCCTTCATTCTCTCTCCAGTTATACTTAATTTGATGTTGAATTCATTTAATTTTTATTTTCAGTGGTTATGGTTTTTAGGAAGTCCTATTTGCTCCTTTTTCACATCTGCCTTTTCTTTTTGCATACCTGCCTTGTTCTTTTTCTACCCCTTTGATTGTCCCCTCTGTTATTTTAGATCTTCTTTCTTTTTAACTTTGTCCAGAGGCAGACTCCTGCAGTCCCTGTGTCTCCTGTCTCTTACACTCCAACTTCCTTCTCTTAGGTCTATTTTTTGTGTGTTTTGTGTGTGTGTGCTGATTCTCTTTTTGTTGAGGGGTTATTTTTATTTTTTCTTTATTTTCTTTATTCTAATTTGTTACATATGACAGCAGAATGCGTTGCTCTGCATATTATACATATAAAGCACAATTTTTCATATCTCGGGTTGTATACAAAATATATCCCCCACCATTCGTGTCTTCATACATGTACTTAGGGTAGTGATGTCCATCTCATTCCACCATCGTCTTTATGCCCATGTCCCCTCCCTTCCCCTCCCACCTCTCTGCCCTATCTAGAGTTCATCTAATCATCTCATGCTCCCCCTCCCAATCCCACTATGAATCAGCCTCCTTATATCAGAGAAAACATTCGGCATTTGGTTTTGGGGATTGGCTAACTTCACTTAGCATTATGTTCTCCAACTCCATCCATTTATCTGCAAATGCCATGATTTTATTCTCTTTTATTGCTCAGTAATATTCCATTGTGTATATATGCCACATTTTCTTTATCCATTCATCTACTGAAGGGCATCTAGGTTGGTTCCACAGTTTAGCTATTGTGAATTGTGCTGCAATAAACATTGATGTGATTGTGTCCCTGTAGCATGCTGTTTTTAAGTACTTTGAGTATACACCGAGGAATGGGATAGCTGGGTCAAGTAGTAGTTCCATTCCCAGTTTTCCAAGGAATCTCCATACTGCTGAAATAGAAAAAGCAATCATGAAATTCATCTGGAAAAATAAGAGACCCAGAATAGCTAAAGCAATCCTTAGCAGGAAGAGTGAAGCAGGTGGCATCACTATACTAGACCTTACACTATACTACAGAGCAAATAGTAATAAAAACAGCATGGTATTGGTACCAAAACAGGCCGCTAGACCAATGGTACAGAATAGAGGACACAGAGACTAACCCACATAATTATAGTTATCTTATATTAGACAAAGGTGCCAAAAACATACATTGGAGGAAAGATAGCTTCTTGAACAAATGATGCTAGGAAAACTGGAAATCCATATGCAACAAAATGAGGGGTTATTTTTATTAGGAGGTCTTTGTCTTGTCCTACAGTGGGGGTTTATACTGAGAATTCCTGGTGCCCTGCACTGTGAAAATTTCCTTCTAGGGTGGTTTTGCTTTTTCATCTCCTAGGTGCTTGGCATTGAAGTTAGGGTGGAAGGCAGTGGGAAGACTGAATAAATTTAGAAATAACAAACCACCTCAAAGTGTTGGCCCAAGTCTCTTCTCTATATAGGTGACTGGCCTGAGTTGCTCCTGTTTCTTTTCCTTACAAATCTTGAAATCTGCATGCTCTCTCCTGATTCAGGGCCAGGAATTCTGGCAGTATGCGTGTAAGAATCCAGTTCAAACAGGCATTTGAAAGTTAGGTAATTTATTGGCTCATGTGGTTGACAAGGGCAGAGGTGGCGTGTCCGTGACGTGGGCTCTGTAGCCACTGAAATCATATCAGAGGAAGAAACTTTCTCCAATGTCTTTCCCTTACCTTGCATCTCTGCCCTCTCTAGAACTGTCACACACAGCTACCAGGTTGATGGAGCCTTTAGAATTACACTTCTAAATATTCTCTAGCTGTGCCTTGGTAAATCATCATCATCATCATCATCATCCAAATCATTGTGTTTTAATCTGGCTCGTTCATGTCTCCAATTTTTCCTCCCCGGACTCCCCTTTGCAGATCCTCAAATCCATTCCAACAGAGCTACACTTTTCCTGTTCCTTCCACCCTGAACGGTTCCTCTCTAACCCCAGTGGTATTTACCTGTTGACATTGACCTTATCCATGACTTTTATGTTCTGAGTCATATCTGAAGGACTGGTATACGTGTCTCACGCCGTCCCTTTGATTCTCTAAGTTCTCAGAGGATGGAAGTCATGTCGGATTTATCTCCCTACTTCCTATGGTGCCAGGCAGCAGGCATGTCACTGAAGGGCTGCTCCTATGGGCCTAGATGAGTTAAGATGCTCAGACCTCTAGCTGGCCAATCCAGGCTGGAGGTTCCTGAATTGCGTGGGGCAGCTACATGAGCTTCGGCAGATTCTCACCAGGAAGCACTGGCTTTGGAGTCATGCTGTTAGTGCAGTGTAGGAGCTGAACCCAGCTCCATCCTGGCAGTGCAAATGGAATACAAAACAAGAGAGTGTGCCCCCTGCACCATGTCTCCCTGTCCCCTCCCCCATTCCTGGGCCTCCTTGTTGGGCTCCACTCCCTAAGACTTCCTTCAGGATACCCTCCTGGCCCAGCAGCTCTCATCAAAGACTCATACAGCTTCAGGATGGTACATGCTTGAAACCAGTGAATCCTGCCTGGCCGTCAACTGCTAGTGAAAATACGATGCCTTCCAAGTCCAGTGGGCATCTTGTCACATCTCTCTAGAGGCTCTGCATACAGCAGGTGCACCACATACATAGGTTGCCTTAAAGTGTCCATTTGAGCCAAGAGTATGCCCAGGACTGACCCCAGAATGGACAAAAGAGAGCAGTCCAGAAAGCATTCAAGCCAACAAGTGGGAACCCAAGGGAGTCATTGAGTGACCCTGTGTGTCTACAGTGGCCTTGTGCAACACCATTCTAAGCCTGGTGCAGTGCCTGGCCTGTCGCAGGCTCTCTGTGTCAGTTTTCAAGTGAAGGAATGAATGAGTTAATGGGCGCATCTTCTGATCTCCTCCAACAGATTACAACAGCAGTGAGTTAAAAACAGCCTGCAAGAAGCATGAGCTGTATGTGAGCTTCCAAGACCTGGGATGGCAGGTGAGTCCTCTGGACAACAGGGAGGGCAAAGGTCCAGCAGCCATCACCATAGTCCCGGAGCTTCATGGGTGAGAGGACTCCTTCTGTAGAAGTCCCAGGAGCCCTCGCAAATTTTCATGCTTCTGGAATGAGACAGAGGAAGGCCTGGCCTGCTGGTGGGCCAAGCGCCCACTGATACCTTTCTGGGTTCCCAAGCTTTGGGATCCCTCGGTTTCAATGCCCATATTCTCCAACCTCCTCCTTTCAAACCCTACAGGGTATATATTTATTTTAGTATTTAAACAAAGTTTAGCTGTTTTGAAAAGGGGTTGGAAAAATTTATCTAATAGTTAACTTCTCCAATGGCTATAAATAGATTCACCCCAACTAGCCAGAAGAGCACCAATGTTTGGCTCCATGCCCAAGAACCACCACTAGTTTGTAGGAAGCCAATTTAGTTATAGGTGATGAATGACAGAAGGTGGTTTTTATATGAGGGTGGCATTCTTGCTCAGCCAGGGTGCTCTGCAGGTTGGGGGTGTTGAGTGCATTTCAACTTCTATTTTCAACTTACAGTGGCTGTTGGGGATGCAACCCTATCATTAATTGGAGATCTGTACCTAAAGCTGGCTGCATATGCAATCCCAGACTTAAGGGGCGGGTAGCAGCTGAGGTCCTGTGGGCCTGTGGAAGGAGCAAGGGCTCCGGAGTCAGACTGACCAGGTTCACACCTGAATGTGAACGTGGACTGATACCTGAGCCTCCCTGCCTCAGTCTGCTAAGCCCTGCAGCACCCGCACTGCCTCCTCCAGGGGTTGCTGAGAGCACAGGTGCTGCGGGGTGTTCACCTTCTGTTGTTTCCTTTTGCTTTACAATCAAGGACTGGATCATCGCACCCAAGGGTTATGCCGCCAACTACTGTGACGGAGAATGCTCCTTCCCGCTCAATGCACACATGAACGCCACCAACCACGCCATCGTACAGACCTTGGTGAGTTCTCAGACCCTTCCCTGGGGAACTGGGATGGAACCCAGACCAGTGGTCATTTCTAACAGGACCCTTCCCCGCCCCCCCTTTCCGTTTTGGAACAGGTTCACCTTATGAATCCCGAGTATGTCCCCAAACCGTGCTGTGCACCAACTAAACTGAATGCCATCTCAGTTCTTTACTTTGATGACAACTCCAATGTCATCTTGAAAAAATACAGGAACATGGTCGTAAGAGCTTGTGGATGCCATTAACCCAAACCAGCTGCTGTGTGCACAAATCCTACCGTGGACCCCGGGATTACATCTGCCTTAAAAAGACAAGCAGCGGGAGTGGGAAGCCGAGACCGTGACACCTTCTCATGCTGGTGCCTTACTGCTCTAGGAGGATTTTTAAAAGGACATTAATAATCCGCTCACTTCGTCAATGCCGTGGGTAGTTGTTGGTCTGTAGGAAGCCGAGTCTGTATTTGCAGCATGAGGTCTGACAAGTGCAGGAACCTAACCCTGAAAGGCACCTCCCCCCCAAGACAAAGAACCCACCAATATTAGCTTTGCTTTAGATTGTTTGTGGTGTCCGTGAATAAATAGGGGGGAAATTTTTTTGAAGGAGTGGCGTATTCTCAGCTGAAGTATTAGCTGGTGGGATATTAGGTGTCAAAGGTAGATTGCACAGAGGTAATAGGAATGGAGGGGGAGACCTGTATTCATAGATCTCAATCCCATTTTTATATGGGATCAGCAGCCAGGATGGGATCCAGGGCTCCAGGAAGGTGCCTTTTTAACTCCATTGTTACTCTTCATGTTTGTGCCAGAGCTTGGCTGGAGTGAAGATGTACTTATTTCAGTCAAAAGAAACCACACCATCTCCACCCAGCTCCCCGCTAGAACCAAAAGGAGATGGCTCAGCCTTTGAGGCGAGGCTGCAAGTGGGGGGAGGTACTTGCAGCAGCCTTGGTTTTCACTCCGTCACATCTGAAAGGAGTCCCCACAACTTCTTTATCAGACCGGTCTTTGAAAAGCTCGCTAACTTCGGGAATGTTGGCTCTCCCATCCCATCTCCTTCCTGAGCGAGGATCTTTGCCTTTCACTATACGGACACCATGTTACTGGGTTAGCACCCGGAATGGGGAACCCGAGGAGGAAGGGGAACCCGAGGAGGAAGGAGCGCCTGAGGTTAAGAATGGGTTTTGGAGACGGGCATATGCTGTTTATGAACCAAGATCACAGTTTCCTTTTGTAGAAAGTAAGACTCAGATTAAAATCTTAGAATATTTTTTAAATGTCTTTTTCACAATCATGTACTGGGAAAACAATTTCATACTAAACTGATTAAATAATACATTTATAATCTTTAACTGTTTGCACCTACAGCTTTTTTTTTGTAAATAGAAACTATAATTTATTGCCTATTTTATATCCATTCTGCTGTAACATTTAAGAAAAGACCAGACTTAAAAAAAAAAAGTTTATTTAGAAAGTATAGTGTAAACAAATTGTACCACTTTGATTTTCCCTTAATACAAGACTCATGATGCAAAGCTAAAGCCACTCCTGGTGGCTGGGCTTTTCTAGAAAGCTGTTCGGTTTTTTTTTTTTTGTTTTTTTTTGAAGGATATCTGTGAACCACACTTGATGAATAAAGATTTCCTTTGAGGCAGAGGCTGGCGGAGATGCTGCTTTGTTACCGTCTGCCTCAGACAGTAGACGTGGTCTTGCTTCTGAGAGTCCCAACGCCAGCTGCTCTGCGCTACCTGGGGATGACGCCCTGTGCTTGGGGTGGGGGAGGGGGCTGGACGCCAGGTGGTCATCATGAGCCGTGGCTTAAGGGAGCTCCATCCCACGGGTGCTTATGTCCAAGGGTGCTAGGAAGGACGTCCAGTTGCCAGCGTGGCCTGAGTTAGGAGGGTGCTGACACTGACATCTGGGCACGTGGGGGCCAGCGCAATCTGCCGACGTCAGTTTTTGGTCTTGAGGTCCCTCTGTTCACATATTAGAAAGTCGACCTCCTTGAAGGCAGACAGCATATGGCAGGTTCATAGGAGGATGACTGAGGAACAGAATCAGAAGCCATTTCTCATGGGGCTCCAGAGTGGAGCTGCAGGCCTGAGAAAGCCCCTCTGGTCCTGTCGCCCCAGGTGGTAGACACAGCCAGCATCTGCCACTGGTTGACAGGGCAGTTAGGACCAGACCCGGGGGACTTTCCTCCCCCGCACTTTGTACGGAAGGCATGGAACCCTAATGTTCACAGGGACTCTGGCTTTGTGTTCACACGAGCGGATGAAACCTGGTGCCCGTGTGAAGCAAACAGGAGTCCCCTGTGAGGAGAACTGCTCAGGGGGCCATCGATAACGGGCTCGGCACAACTGCTGGGGCGCAGCCCACGGTGCCACTGCAGTATTACGGGGGACTTCCGCCCACAAGAGAAGTAAGTACCCACAGAACAAGACTCAGCCGTGGCCCCAAGGGGACAGGTTTTTGTTTTGAAATCTGCTCCAAGGTACAAACCAGCCACATGATTAACAAGTCAGTTGTGACTTTCTGGTCAGAGAAAATATCAATTCTGCCACAAGGCCACCTCTCCAGAACTCAGGGGCAGTGCAAAGAACTATGTTTTTTTGGATGATGCTTTTATCAAAAATCACTTGGGAGCCCAAAATAGTCCAGTAACTTCATTTTCCTTGACTATTTTAGTCTCAAAGGAAACCCCTTTAATTTTGTCAAGAAAAGGGTGGGGGGTGGGGGGTGGATTGCCACCGAGAACATTTCACTTGCACAGTGACCATGAGTTACACATTTGCTTGATTTGGACTTAATCAAGAATCCGTAGAGCGTGTTGGCTTAAAAGACACGTGAAGAAGACACCACAAGTTTCATACATTCAGCTTTCTGGATAACCATCCCTCGAACCCTGGATGTCCGAACGACGCAGCTCCTGTCCACCGGGTGTCGGGCGGCCCGGCAGGACAGGAGACTCCCCAGCGGGTTTTATAGTTCGTCTTTTGCCTGGCGCAGGACAAACTGGTGTAAGGACTCGAGGTCTCGACTGCCGCTGTGCTCACCGACTTTTTTGCCTCCCCGGAAAAGCAACAATGTGGGGTAGCCTCGTACCTTTAAAAGGGGGGGGGGGAGATTGAAAACCATCGAGCTGAGTCACACACAAACTGCATCTTAAAACCAGAGTGCCTGGGAAATTCCATGGCCGAAATTTGCAACTGGACAGACCACGAAAGGACCAGACAGTGTGGAAGAAAGCACTGCCTGGAGGGCTCCATGCTTACTATTTAGTCCAAATTACATTAAGGGCTAGTGTCAGAGGAATGGTTTTACCCTGAAGAGGAGACTCTGAATCTTAACGTGCATCTGGTTGCTGCGGGGCCTCTGGGGCTGGGCCTGGCGTCTACATTCCTAACGTGTAGGGGGAAGCCGTGCTCCTCTGCGCAGCACCCAGCCATGCACTTTCCAGCTGCGGCTCACCCCTTTTCTCTTAAAAATTTCCAGGCCCAACAAGTAACTAGCATCTGTTAATGACAAGTAAACTATGTCTATGTTACATCTACCTCCTCCTAATGAGGTCACAAACCTCCGAGACTCCAAATGAGTTTTAAGGAAGATCACGGGTTCCAAGCCAGCCCCAGCAACAGGGAGGCGCTAAGCCACTCAGTGAGACCCTGTCTCTAAATAAAATACAAAATTGGGCTGGGGATGTGGCTCAGTGGTCCAGTGCCCCTGAGTTCAATCAATCCCCAGTACCAAAAATGATTAAATAATAAGAAGAAGAGTCGGAGGCTGGGGCTCAGTGTAGAGCACTTGCCTAGCACACACCCCGGGGTTCAATCCCCAAACCTGAAATGTAAATCACAAATCCCCTGGGTCATTAGATTATGTGACCAGCTGGAAATGAAGGTAACGGTTCCCCCAAGCACATGGCTGGCTCAAGTACTTCTTCAGCTCAGCCACGTCCTTCAGGGTGCTGGAGATGTGTGGAGACGGAGCCCCTCGGGATTTATGATGAGGGCTGGGGGCCAGCAGGGGTCCGTCAGCACCAGCAGTGGCGCTGGTGTTCTCAGCACAAAAACCAGGCAGAGACCCCTCGCCTCTGAGAGTAGCTTCTGCCCCTCACAGCAAAACATCTCAAAAGGGCCCTAGCAATGCTTTGTGGGGGATGAGGGCAGAGGGCACCATCTCCTGAGCCCACAACACCAAAGTGTGACCACTGGGGAGTGGCTCCCAACTTCTGGAGGTCCCAGGCATGGTTTCACCCAGGCCCACCCACCCCAGGTGCGGTTTCATGCAGCAAACCCACCGAGTACTTGCTGCAAACGTTCCGCTCCACGGTGCAGTCGACCTCAGCGATCTTGATATTGGCCAGACCTGGGAATTCCTTCTGAGCGAGTTCCTCCCACGTGGGAGCCAGATTCTTACAGTGACCACACCTAGGAACAGAGCGTGAGAGCTGTGGTGAGGCCCTGGGTCAAGGTCACTCACTGCCAGGGTTTGCTGCTTCTGCACGAGACGGTCAACAGTTGCCTAGAAACTTCCAAAATGTCAAATTCTCCCGTTGGGTGACACTAACTCTTCCCTCCCTCACCTCCTGCCCCCCATGCTGAACAAGGAATTCAGATAACCGGAGAGAAGTGAGGCGGTTTGAAAAGTGTAGATTTGGAGACCATTTCCATGCTAAGGTGAAGTTGGGGCTAGCTGGTTTGATGAACCTGTGAGCACAAGGGTTCGGGCAGGAAGTGAAGCAGAATCTTAAAAATCACTTGAATTCTGAGAACATTTTAGATGCGACTGCTAACAGTCTTAAAATTCCAGAACTTCAAGGCTTTCTTGACACTTCAGCAATTTGTAAAAGGCCACTGCATAGTTTAGTGGGAACCCTCCCTTGTCCCCCTTGGTCGACTCCCTCTTCTTCTTGACCCTCTCCTAAGACTTGGGCGGCTCAATGAAAAGTGATGTTCTTGCCTCAAGCATGATCTGTATCGCTTTAGGGTTTTTAAAAACAGAAAGCATTCTTGAGGGCAATATGGACGAGCCTGTCTAGTCTTTAAAAATCACATGGGTCAAAGGAGTTCTGGGCTCACTTTCTGTCCCTGACACTGTGGTTCCTCCCAAGGACCTGAAGTGAACAAGCTCTGGGCCAAGTGACATGGGCGCCATTCCCTGTGCAGGTCCAGGTGGAGTCTGCCACCCTCCTTAACACTGCCTGGCCTGATGGAGTGTTTGACTTGTGAAGACCAAGCACTGCTCCTGGCTGACGACTGAGGAAACAGGTTCCGCGGAGTCAAAGGACATGCAAAGTTACAGTGGGTTAGGGTTGGTCTCCTGTCATCTCCCCCCCCACACTGTCAGGCTGTCTTGGCCTCAGATGATATGCTCTCCATTCAACTCTGGTCCTCAAGGACCGTGTGACAGGAACGTTCGGGTAACTGGGTCACACACTGAATGGCTCTAACAGAAAGCCGAGCTCCACTGGGTTTCTCTATCCCATCATTTGAAAGAAAAAGAGGAGCAGGGCGACCTGGTGATGGTCATTGTCCAACTCCAAAGCAATCAGTCTGGAAAGCACCCAGATGCCAGACCATGTTTTGGGGGGGCCATCGTAAATCACCTCTATTTTTGTAGACTGAGCTGTAACTAAATTAACCTCTTTCCCTATGAACAATTTTGAGTGCCACTGAACTTCAGCGTATTTGAATCGAGGGGCACGGTGAGAACATCTCCTTATTTCCCACACGACCTTTGTGCGAATGTGGTATCTGCCCATTGTCAAGTCTGGGGGGTTTGCTAATGAGGGGGCAGACCCGCTGTGACTTGAGCACACCAGGAGGAAGGATGTGCTAATTAAGCAGCCACTCACCACGGAGCATAAAACTTGATGAAGGTTATTCCTTCTGCAATGCTGTCGTCAAAGTTCTTTTCAGTGAGTGCCAACACAGCGACCTTCCAGGAAAGACAAAACCACAGTTGAAACACATCACTTCAGCTACAGCAGGGCAGAAATACAGCATCAGTCACTTCTTTAAAACACTGTTCTGCATGCTCCAGGCACCCATGGCCTGTTTCCATCTCACTCCTCCCGGCACCCTCAGGCCCCGCCCTGAACACCCCGGCTGATTGACACACTGGGTGATTGACAGCCGCACCTCTGCTCCCGGCGCCTCCCCTGGCAGCCCTGGGAGCCCTGTCCCTCCTGCAGACAGAGCTGCCTCTCCCTCCTCTCCAACTCACCTGGCTCACCTCCCTTTAAATGGGAAGCTTTTGTTCACTTTCACCCCTTCAAGCACGTAAGAGGAGACAAAGAAAACGTTTCCTGCCAAGAGGCATCTCAGCCAACTCCACGGTGCCCTCCCTG